TCGATGTCGTTGGCATTTTGTCGATATGGTGCATTATCGATCACCACAACGCTTCTTCACGGCAAATTTTTATTCAACTGTCCTGACACACATTTCTTATAATTATAAAATTTTATCTCGTTATGATGATCACCTGTATCACAATTTGATTTCCATCTAACGTAAACATAATTCACAAACCCCTTTTGCACTACCCGCATGTATTATGATAAGACAGGTTTTTTTAGGACATTCCATGGCGATCACTCCAAACATTTTGGTGTGTTTGTAGCGTGAATATACAGTGCCTTCATTTCAAAACTTCCCACCCCTAGTACTTCGTTTAGCAAGGAGAATTTGCCGTAGGCAAAAAATACGTCAATTTAGATATCGAGGGGGAAGTTTAAAACCAGTGCCAGTGGTATTTTAGGTTTGACCTTCTTATCCCTAGCTACCCCCACTTAATAATTTTAAATCGCACCCCCTATCTTGTAACACATCATTTTAAAGATCTCAAAAATCTTCACTCAACCCCGTTTAGAAAACTGAAATTGGTTGATCCGTTCTCGTAAAATAGGGCAAAAAGAAAATTAATTATAACATAATGCAAAAATTTATGGAACCGCTACCACTGAGTCAATAACGGTATGTTTATGTCTCTTTTTAACACAGAGTTTTTTGCTTTAGCTAAAAGTGAGATAAGGGCACACAGTCGCTTCTTGGCGTCAGTTACAATTAAATGGTGAAAACATTTATCAGAATTAGTTATTCCTGATTTTAAACTGTTCGTCAAGTGGTGTCAGTTGAACTGACAGTAATACAAATCGTAATGGTGTAACCTTTACAAGAAAGAACTGAAATTATTTTTATTTATGGTGCTGAAGATAGGTGTGCTCGTAGGACAGCCCGGGTTTTTAATGAAAGTCATGCAGGCCAAAATGTGAGTCACCGATATGTTCTAGACCTTGTTCAAATTCGATATCTAAATTGACGTGTTTTTTGCCTACGGCAAATTCTCCCTGCTAAACGAAGTACTAGGGGTGGGAAGTTTTGAAATGAAGGCACTGTATGTTTCATCCATAAAAATAATAGGTCCTTCGACGCGCGTTTCACTAACCAAGTTAGCGTCCTCAGAAGATCATTATGACCACTATGTTGGTGTTTTTATATGCTAGTGGCCTAACTACTACCTGTAAGTAGTAGTTGTTATTGTTTCTATGCTAAACTACCTCTTTTTTTTCAACACCTCTAATTTCTTATGTATTTCCTTTATGTAAGTGGCTATCCCCTATGAATATTACTGGAGTTTTTTTCCAACACCAAATCTTTATTTTTAACACTTCGACACGTGTTTCGATCACCAAGTGATCATCTTCAAAGAGGAAGATTAAAACTAAGAACTAGTGCGAGCTAATCCTATTTATGCTATAAAGGTAACCCATACAGGT